TTTTGGGGCGTGACATTAAAGCTCGAGAGGTTATATGATGAGTCTAATCGTTTTTTTATTTTATTTTTGTCAAAAGAAACGCTCATTTATTATTAAAAAAAGTTAATCTATATCTATCTATCTATATATATTAATGAAAATGAGATTTGTAGTGAAGAATCTTGTGAGTGGAGACTTATGTTTAGGTCTTATTAAGTTGACTTATTATCCAATAGGTTTTGCGAAAATTAATAGCATTTTTTTATCAAATATTATTAAAAATGTCACTAATTATTAATTTTTCAGTGACAATTTAAAATTTTTGTCACAAAAAATGTCACTAATTATAAGTTTTAGCGACAGTTTAAAAAAATCGTTACAAAAAAAATGTTACTAATTTTTAATTTTTAAAAACAATTTGAAAAATTCGTCACGGGAAAACGTTACTAATTATAAGTTTTAGCGGTAATTTATAAAAATTGTGATAAAAAAATTATTAATTGTCAATTTTAGCGACATGTAAAAAATCGTCACAAAAAATTATTTTTAATAACCATTTTATTAAGATTTATTTTCAATTATGGGAGTTTCATTATCTCATATTAATTTTCTTGATTTTCTTAATTTGAAACAATTAAGAAAATTTCCATTGACTAACTTCCATTTGACCATATAAAAATAAAATTCTAATTAGTTCATAATTTAAGATTTTTAAAAGAAAAATATACTAATGATTTTCAAAATACATATTTGTGTTTCTATTAAATATGAGAAGCAATTCGCCAAGAATAAGAAAATAAAGATGTCAAATTTCAACTATTCAAAGATTGACTTCTTATGTATATATATTTCTATCTTTTCATATGCATAATTTTTCTTTATATAGATTTTCAAATCACTTATTCTCACCCAAAAAGGAAAAAAAAAAAAAAAAAAAAAACCTTACAAATTGTAAAAATCTTGTGTAACACACAAAACTAAGAATAATAAAATATTTTAGAAAAATTTATCTATATTTATGTCTATATATGTAACAAAAGTCTTACCAAAGTTTCAAAATCCCATATCTAATTTCTTAATTTTTTTAATTTTAAAAAAAAAATCTATTAAGTAATTATTACATGATTTATGGCTTTCAAAAAGAGAATGTACTAATCTATTTTAAAATTCAATTAAAAAGAGAGCACTTTTATGAAAAATCTCATAATTTACGATTTTGATTTCCTATTACTTCATATTTATCTATACTATATGTTATGTACCTATATATATATATATATATATTGAGAGGGTAATTTTTGGGAAAAATTGGGCCGAGCCGCGAGTTGGGCATTGAGGCCCAAAACGCGAAGGACTAAGTAAGAAGGCCGCAATAGATACTCCGGCCCAGAAGGGCAAAGTTACTCCGGCCTTGGGAAGACAAAGTTACTTCGGCCCAAGGAAGAGTAAAACTACTCCGGTCTTTAGGCAACTTACGGTTAGGCCGGTCTCAGAGTTAGTCCGGTCACAGTATGTTCTGAGAAGGCCGGTTTCGGAGTTAGTCCGGTCGTGACTTACAATGGTTAGGTCGGTCAGAACTTGTTACTTGGAAGTTTGATCTAAGTACGTCAAGGGTGAACAGAACAGCCGAAGTAAGGAGTTAGGGGAGAAGACCGAGCTAAGGATAGTTCGGCCCTCTGTGACTCGGTATAGCCAATTTTACTTCGGTCAAATGGAAGTTCGGCCATAAAGAAAACCATCCCACTTGGTTTAAGCAGTGGGGGAGGGTGTAAAAGGATAAGCATTATCCTTAGGAGAATGAATCCTAGGAGGACTCTGCATGGAGAAATACAAGTCCCACTAGGATTGTGCCACGGGAAACTTATAAAAGCTCACAAACATCACCTTGGAGGAGGTAATTGAACACAATCTTTCTGAGAACCTAGAGCTTTGTCTATTTGTCAAGTTTTCTGACTTAGGCATCGGAGAGGTTTCCGGCACACACCCGCCGGCTAGCTCACGTTTGTGTTTTCAGGTAACAAAGCGACGTCGTACGGAGGAGCGTGGACTTGGTCAACAGGATTATACGAGGAGAATTATTTCCTCCCCGTACATATATGTATATAATATCAATTAAAAAGAGAACACTTTCATGGTAAATCTCATAATTTACGATTTTGATTTCCTATTATTCCATATTTACTTATACTATACATGATGTACCTATATATATAGTATAGATGTAATCATTCAAAAAGATAGAAAAATCTAAAACACACATTGCCAATTCAAAAACCATAAACATTCATAGCAGTTATAATATCCAAAGATTTCAATCTCTTCTTCACTGCAATATGGTATCAATATCTATTTCAATTGTTTTATTTTCTGATATAGATTTTAAATATTATTCATTTTTTTTTTTTATTGTGGATGTTAACACATGAGATATTGTAATATTTTTATGATTGTAGTAGTATTTGAGAGTTTTAATTTATATTTATGTCTATTTTTTGTTAGATATATAGCAGTCCAAGAAAGTTGATGATACAATGATGAATTTATCCAAAAAAAAATTGCATGTTTTAATTGTAATTCCTCTAATTTTGATTTGAAGTGGGTTGTTTTGATTATTTTCTAACTTTACCACTTTAAGCAAAACTTGCGATGATGGTCACTCTGGTTGACAACATGTAAGTTTTTTTATTAATTATTTAATTTTTTTTGTGTTATTTATTTATTTATTTTGTAGTTTCAATGTAGAGCTACAAATCATTTGAAATTTTTTATGAATCATTTGAAATTTTTCATGGAAGTCATTTAGATCACCATTTATCAATGTGAGATCATGTTTTTAGTTAAGTCCGCATTAATATTATCATATTATTATGAATTATGAATATCTAACCATATTATTTTTTAGTTTTGTCAATATCCATTATTTCAATAATTTTTTGATAATTGCCTCTCTTTTTTTTCCTTTTAAAATTATTTGTAATCTTTGAACAGTTTTCCTGCAAATGGTTTGACATATGTATTGATTATTTAGTCATCATACATATGAATAATATTATAGGTGCATCACTATGATTTTTGTTTATTTTGAATTTTTTTTTTTTTTTTTTGTTTGTGGCACAAACAAACTTGATACCCATATTATTCATTCATAATTTTTTCAAATCTCACTAATATGAAGCACTCACAAATGTATATATTGATGTTTGATTCAGTATGTATGTACTTTATTTTCATCAATAAAGTTGTTTTTTTTCCATTTTTAAAATATATATTAAAAAAAATAGCCCATAATTTCTTCATATCTCTAACTAATATGAAGGGCTCACAAATGGCATGTAATCTCACAAAATCATAGAGACAAATCAAATGATTTACTCAACTTAAATATTGTAAATTTGTTTTTTTTTTTATATAGATAAATATACATAATCTTATAAGATAGAGATAGGAAAATATAATCAAGATATATATAATGTTTTTTGAATTATTTAATTTAAAAATAAATATAATTTTTTAAATTGACTTTAAGATTTTATTGATTCAAGTCATGAAGTGAGGTTAACTTCATATTTATAGCCAAGTTCAGTAATTTTTATTTTTTTCACGTCTTATACAATTAAAAAATTCATTTCCAAATACAATAACTTTCTTATATCATAAAATAGTCAAAAAGTCATTTAAAATGTTAATTTCAAACAACCACTTAGTTAAAAATAGTTAAAATTTACTTATCTCTTTTTTAAAAATTATTTTTAATTAATTAAAAAATAAATTTACTCATCATTATTTAATCCGGTACATAACACAAGTTGTACGCTTGTTAAATAATTAATCAAATATGGTGAAAGATTATTTAAAAATTATTTTTAACGACAAATATGAAATTTTTTTTTTTTCTTTCTTTATTTTATTTATTTGTTTATTATTACTTTTTTAAATCTGTTCCAATATTCAAAGATGAAGGTGAATGTATGTGCTGAATACAAGGTAGTTGGACCAATCTATCTAATCCTTATCTGATCAAAAAATCTATCTAATCCTTAAATCATGATGTATAAACTGCATGTTCATTAAATAAATAAACCAAAGTCAAAAGCAGTAACATTATGACATAAATGAACTGGTTAAAGTGGCTGCCAGTTCATTACTAGTTTTAATATCTTGATTTAGATAAACTTTCCAATTCTGTCGTACTTACAATATAATATAAAATTAACCACAACTTCTTGAAAATTATGATAGGGTTTGTTGAAATGCTCTTGTTAATTTCAAAGCCTGACATCTTTGCTTGCATTGTATAACAGTAACATTACGGATCACAAAACAAATTTCATCAAAATCATTTCGAAGTTGTTGCTGGATGACTAGCTAGTTAACCCTAAGTTTTTCTAGTCAATTGACTGATTGATTGGCTACAACTTCAAAATATTTCTGGTCAATTGGACAACCGAGTAAACGACTTGGTAGACAATCGATTTTGAAATGAATTTGATGAAAATTTATTTTAAATCGAATGACCAACCAAATAACCAGCTAGATTTGATAAAACTATTGAAACATATCATATCATCTCAAACTTTTCATCAAATTTTTACTTGAATTTGATAAAAAAAAAAAAATTTATAAACCTTTTGAGATGCTCTAACAAAGGCTTTTAAAATGAAATTTGCAAACATTCAAGTGACAAAAACATATCTTCTTTTAGATATTAAAAAATATAAAATTCTTCCATCCTTTCTTTTTCCTCTTTTCTTTTTCAGTATTACGAGAAAGCGTTTTATTCTACAAACTATTGCCGCCAAAACTGCTCACACTGGGATCCTTTAACAAGTGAACTTCATCAATGAGCACAAGTGCCATATCATTGAAAAAGCTCAAACCACCATCTTTAATGTGGAGTCACTGCATCAAACTTCTGCAGAAAGGATAGGCAGCTTACTAAACCATGCTCCAGAAACAATTCCCCCCAGTCATCACCAATACAAAGTAAATGAAACAAAGAGTATCCGTGGATGTCTTGATGGTGCGAAATCAATAATCTTCTGAACTTTTCAGTATTCAAATAAACATCAAAAAATTTTCCATATACAAAATCGTAGAAAGCCTACTGTTTTGAGTGTTCCCTTCCAAGTGAATAAATCTTCCCTCTGCAAAGATGAACCTTGAGAGCAACCTCAAAATGCAAAGCTCAAAAAGTACTGTTTTTCCACTACCAATTGGTGCTGAAATGACCATATTCACATGAGATAGGAAACAGGCAAAAAAGCATTCACTTTGCAGCGAGTTAAAGTACCTGTAAAACAAATACAAATGCTAAAACAGGACCGATTACACCGTGTATAGCAAAAGAACAATATTTTAGGTATTGTGGGCCAATTCCCTAAATCACATTTATCATCATACATGGTTGATGTTATGAAAATTTAGATAGACAAATAAAATAAAGCAAAAATTATTGCATAAATTTAGCATGCATCCATCTCAGTTGTTGCATGTTTATAAAACTTAACATTGACAAGACCAGTTCAATAATTGAAAATCAATGTAGGAAAAAATATGAAAAAATGCCAAAAGGATGCCCCCATGCAAGCTGTTAGAGAAAAAAGTTGTAATTTCTTCAAATGTTTTATGAACTCATTTTGCTTGGTTGAATATTTTGGTCAACCAATAACACATCTGAAATCTCAATCTCTCATAAATAAGAAAAAGGGGATTTTTAAAATATAACTTTTCCATATAAATCATGATTCCAACATAATGGTCAACCATCAAATTCCAATAGGAACTTAAAGTTACCTGAAACCAAAAATTGAACAGAAAGGAGCAGGTGAAGCTGAAACAGACTGCAGTGCATATTGATCCATAAACAAGCTCATTTATCAGTCCACTAGGGAAATGAAAAGATAAAAATCTCTTTAGCTTAAACTCATGTTTGTTTAATATATAATAGTATATTCCGTAGGATAATCATTTCAGAAACACATCATATAGAAAAAGGATCAAAGCAATCCATGAAAATTAAATTTTGATCATTGAAATAAAAACTGTCTGTTGCATTTTAACTATGACTTGACATTGATCCTAGACTGAGGAATTCAAAATAATAGACGTGGAAAATAAGTGAGGAGACATTAAAAACATTAAATAGTAACTGTGTAGAAAGAAGCATGACACCTTCAAACATTCAGAGTGTAAAAATCTATATTTATGCATTCGAAGTGTAAAAATCTATACTGAAGTAAGATCTAAACTATATAGCATCTGATTCTTACATTTTATTTTAACTATGCACATAGAAACAAATCAGAAATCAAAATTCTCCAAATTAACTAACAGTTGATAGTGTTGATCCAATCAAAAGTTCATTCCATCCCAAAACCAGTAAGAAAATTTGAAAATATCACAAGGAGCAAAATCTGAGTTAACATTCTAACTGAGTTAACAAAATCTGTTCTATTCCACATTAATTTGACTTAGAAAATGTTGCCAAGATCTACTAAGGTTCATTGGGCTATGAAGACAAAGTTTATGCCCCTCTTTCCTCGATAATAAGTGAAATCAGAAAAAGAAACATTTCAAAAATAAAAAACTGCAAAAACTCGCTGTTTATAATGAATCACAGGTCAAATGGATAATAGAATTCACAAAGACCTGGTCATAATTCACTGAATTAGCTACGGTAATCGCAAATTTGGAACCGAAGGACCTCTAGAATCTCAAACTACGAACTCGAATAGATTTATTGCAAATGTGTTCTAGATTCAGGTTGAAGTTGTCTTAACTACCTTAGAAAGAGTTTGTGAGTTGTTTGATCTCAAGATAAAATGGTAGTAGATGCCAATGGCAATGATGTGAACTCCAATTCGAGTAGATTTTCAATTACGTGTATAAGCGATTGAAAATATGAAAAAACAATATAAAATTTCTCAATTCATCAGATCAAACATGTATATACGACTTTTCAACATATACATATGTATGCACATCAGTACGTACCTCATAATTTGTATTACAGTATATGCATATTCGTTAAAGCTTGCAAAGAGTTTCTCTTCTCGAAGTTCATAGATTCAATGAGAGAGAGAGAGAGAGAGAGAAGGGGGTGGGGTTACCTCACAAAGCAATAATAAGCTTCGACTTGCGGTGGAGGCCAAACAATATGGTGAGAGCAACGAAAATTGAGCCATTTATAGGCTGAGCAGTTTGTGCTACAAATATCAATGAGTCACTCACCTGTGCAGATGAACCAAAACTCTTAGAGCCCTGCCAGACAACCTCATGGCTCTTCTCATTTTTTCGCTTATCTCTGTCTTGGTAGTCAATTTGGCCGAAGAAAAAAGAGTCAAATCCAACCTAAATGAACAAAAAAACTCAAATTCAATCAACCTGCAGTGTGTGTAATATGGTAAACTTGTGTGGATCAAATTAACTTCTTCTTTTTTTTTTTAAATTTTTTGGAGATTGTACAATTTTTTTATTTCCTTCAAGATAATAATATTCTTTAATGTCTTGATGGTTGGTGACAAAGCCATACATAAACAACAATTACCTATGCTAAGGACTAACAATACCGAGACAGTCATACCTCTGCCCCCAAAAGGTAAGCCTGCACTGCAGAATGACCAAAGAGATCAATCCGCCAACCAACTCTTGGAGTCACAGTGAACTTCTCTTCGATAAACCAGTGCCCAAGTGTAGTCTGATCTATCATGTCAATATAATGTGAGGCCACCTCATCATCCATGCAGCAACCACCATTTCTGCACCCATTCAAAAAAAGAAGGAAGAATTTTTGAATTAATCCAATACCTTAAAATAGCCACTCTTGTGAGTAATGTGCTCAATCAAAACCATATTGGTCTCAATTTCCATCTTTGCGAACTTAAAAAATCAAACAAATATAGAGACCAAGTTCGGGGTATAAAATTAAATGAGCATATGCAATTGTATACATCAACTCTAGTTGGCCTATAGCGATCCCGGTTGTCCCTTTACTGTTCTGTTGTATTCCGGACTCGGTTCCGTGAAGTTAGTAGTTGTATCTATCTTGTTGTCGTCCTTTAATTCCACTTGATTGAGTTTTAGGATGTTTTGGACAGGGCTGTTACAGGTTGGTTAGGCCTTAGTTTCAATTCCTTGTTACCCAGTTTTTAGGCGGTCCGCTCGAGCGGGTCTTATTGCGCTCGAGCGGGGATTGCACACTCCCAGTTTTTCGTGTCCCTGCAAAACTTCTGTAGGTGTGATTTCTACACTCGAGCGGGTTTCTTTACGCTCTAGCAGTAGCGCTCGAGCGGGTAGTGCCTTTTTTGTGTAAGTTCTAGGAGGGGGAAATCTACGCTCGAGTGGACTGGTTTTCGCGCTCGAGCGGATTTACTTTATTCTTGTGTCTTGGCACTCGAGCGGGCCCTTTTTGCGCTCGAGCGGACCTAATTTTTGTTCTTGACGCTCGAGCGTTGTGTTTTCCGCTCGAGCGGGAATGTCGTATATCAGTTGGCTGTGAGGCAGTTTTAAATCACTTTTTCTCCTCCTTTCTCTCTTTTACTTTTTCCGAAAAAGCCATTTGAGAGCCTCTCTCTTTAAAACCTTGCCTTCTCTCTAGATATTGATCTAGCTAGGGTGTTTTCCTCACCTTTGGTCTTTACAAAAAGGTTGTTGATCGTCGAGGGCTATCTTTTGATCCGAGGAACTCGTGGTTTGAAGCAACTTCGTTTTCACCATCTTCTTCTTTGGGTCTCATTTTTTGAGGTAGGGATTCCTACTCACTCTTATGGGTTTTAACCTAGATTTTGAGCTTATTGTTTAAATGATTGATTTTGGGACTTAGGGTTTCAAAATGTGTTAATGATGGTTTTGTGATTTTGGGCTCATAATATGTATTTTGGGTTTCAAAATGATGATATAGTTGTTGGTTGGTGATATTTGAACCTTTGAGTTGATATTGGGAAATGGGGTCCCTAATTTGTTGTTTAAATTAATTGGTATAATTAATTTGGGAAAGTTGTGACTTTATGGAATTGAGTTGGAAATAATGAAATTGGTTCATTATATGGTTGAATAATGGAGTTAGATTTATAAATCGCTCACTTTTGAAAACATTGATATTTTATCTGTTGGAGCTTTTATTATCTGTTTAGAAATAATTGCTTGGGCTACCGGTAGAGGGTAGTTTTGATTGTTGTAGGCAATGCATGATGATTAGGCAAACTAAAACTAATCAATTAGTTATGTCATACAGTATAACGGTTGATAGAATACATTAACGTTATGTATTGTTTGATTGTGTATATGACCTTTGTGTATATACGTTGTATGTGTGGGAGGAGATGGGGGATGTACTCCACGGTTTAAGGGAAGATAGGGGATGGACCTCTAAACCGGATGTTGTTTGGAAGGAGATAGGGAATGAACTCCACTGATACAGCTCATATGCTTGTCAGATAATGTGATGATACAGCTCATATGCTTATCTTTGGAAGTGTTGATACAACTCATATGCTTGCCATTGGAAGTGTTGATATTGCTAATATGCATATCTGTTGAAATGTGGATACAGCTTGTATGCTTATCTGTTGAGATGTTGATACAACTAATATGTTTATCTATTGTAAAATGGGAAGTGTTTAATATGAGTCATTGTCTCATATAAGCGGTTGGCCAGGTTCTGAGCCATTGATGTAAACTGTGAAATTGATAAGAAAAGGAAACTGAAATGAAACATGAACATAGTGGTCATGAAATGGAAATGGGTTATGAATTGGTTTATGAAAATTGAACATTTATCAATTGCTAATGTCTTAGTTATTGCTCATACTGTATTTAGCATATCTCTATTGAGCGTTGGCTCACCCTTTATGGGATATTATTTTCAGGTACAAGTAATATGCCACCACCAAGGACATAGCTTGGGTGAGGATGAGAGTTGAAGACTCTTTTGTTTATTTTGATGTATTCCTTGTAAATTTAAGCCAAGGGCTTAATATGTATTGAGTTAGCACTCTTCTTTTTGTAACCAAAGGTTAACTTGGAAAGCTGTAAGCCCATAGGGCATTTGCTTTTGTTGTTAACATGTAAGACAGTTGTAAGAATTACTCTGATGGATAGAAATGATTGGTTTCTTTTATATCAATGCATGTTTAAAGTAATGGGTTTTATGTATTTTTTTGAGGGCGTTACATGGCCTGTGCTAACAAACTGCTTGGTTATACTCTAGACTCCCTCGCTCTGGTCCCTCCACCATCGCTGGAAAAATGCCTGTAATAAAACATATGACTCTCAATCAATTCAACTTTCAATCTGCGTATCTTCGTGTGATTGTGTCAGTAACAAATCCATTTATATAATACATATATCGAAAGGAAATGGGTTGTGACCTGTTCAACGAAAATGAACTTCCGATTTTTATCAGCCAACAATGCCAGAATTAATGAATCTAATACATTTTGAACACAAGACACCTAAAACAAGCAAAAACTAATCAATATAAACTCGAATACTAATCACAATTAATGAATCAAATACATTTTGAACACATGACACCTAAAACAAGCAAAAACCCATCAATATAAACTTGAATAATAATCAAAATCAACGAATTTAATAACATTTTGAACGCACACTGCCTGAAACAAACAAAAAACATCAATAAAAACACAAACACTCATAAAAAAATCAATGAATTTAATAAAATTATGAACACACGTTGTCCGAAACAAGCAAAAGCCCATCAATTTAAACTAAAATACTAATCAAAATTAATTAATCTAATACATTTTGAACACAAGCCGCCTGAAACAAGCAAAAACCCATCAATTTAAACTTGAATACTAATCAAAATTAATTAATCTAATACATTTTGAACACAAGCTGCCTGAAACAAGCAAACATAAATCAATAAAAACTTGAATACTGATCAAAATGAATGAATCTAATACATTTTAACACAGGCAGCCCGAAACAATCACAAACCCATCAGTATAAACTCAAATACTAATCGAAATTAATGAATCTAATACATTTTTAGCCTGAAACAAGCAAAAACCCATAAACATAAACTTGCTTTGCAAATTCTTTTGGGTCATTTTTCTTTGTTAGTAGAATTTGGTAATGCTTCACTCAATTTGGAAAATATTTTAAATGCTTCGCTCAATTTGATGAAAAAAGGGTTTCTCCCTTGATTTGATAAGCATTTTATGAAAGGGTTGGAGATGGATTTTGAGCACTTTTTCATCAAACTTAAATTTGATAGGAAAAAAAAAGGCTTAAGGATTGAAAAAGAAATTTTTTAGTTGCAGTAGAGCAGACTGCTAATTTTTTACCCTATAATCGTCAGCCAAAAAGGTTAATTCAAATATGATTCTTCACGTAAGAAAGGGAATGTGGAATTTGACTAAACTTTGGAAAGAAAAGTAGTCTAACCTAATTAACTGTGGATAACATATGCAAATACAACGAAAAACTCAAGAGCCATGACAAAGTGACGATTGCATTTATAAGGTAAATGTCTATCTTACAGCAGCCTTGGCCTCATCCATCAATCTCAAAACTCTAGGTCTGGGCTCCACCTGCCCATTGACAACACAAATCCATTTTGTTCAAAATCATTCATCCAGAATAATCAGCCACACAGATAAACTAACAAGTAATCATAAATGAAGAATAAATAAATTCCTACTTACAGTTTCAGATTTGATAATTTCCTTGTATCTTTCAGTCTTCCAATCCTACAGATAAATAACCCCAAAACAGTTCATAAATATAGCCAACTAATTGATGATACAGATTAAAGAAAATCTCTTCAAATCTTTGAAATTAGCACAAAATCGAGAACTTGAACAGAAATTCAAAGATAATCGAACCTTATTTCGCATATCAAAACCAAAAAATAGAATTCCTTAATGTGTTTAGGACTTGATCATCAAATTGAATAAAGTACCTGGAGGGTATCCATTAATATTGCTCTGCCAGCATTGTCCTCGGGAGGTGTCTCAGAGATGGTTGAACATGGCCAATTGTGCCCCTCAAACAAATAGCCTAAAATGCTAAATGGATAATCAACATAGTGAACCACAAGATTTAAAAAAAAGAAAAAGAAAAAATAAAAGCACAAACATTAAATAGAATCTCATGTTATGATAGCACAATAAAATTGAACAAACTAGTACAAAATATCAGTTAAATATTTTAAGTCTTCTTGCATTTTTACATGTTAAATTTTTTATTTTATTCAATAAAAACTATCCATTAATATTGGCTTTTGTTTATGCTGCTAAGATAATCTTAAAAAAGCGATATCAGCATGTTGACATCTTCAGTCTATATTCATACTCTTAAGAGTAAAACTAGAACAGCAAGTAGTTCTAATAATGGGTAGCTCAATCACACACAGAAAATTTATACAACTGAACTTTATTGCTCTTATCTTATGGCTATGGGCATATTGTCAAACAGATGTTGTGCAAGGTGTATCCATGCTGAGAAAATCAGCAACACAACAAAGAATCATACACACAGCAACCGGTAGCAGATTAATACCAAATCAAAAACGGCAAAAGAACAGAGAATGCAAAACTCAAAACCAAAACGCATACTAACAGATTGTACGAATACAAAGAGAAAATTACATACCTTGCGGTTTAGGGAACGACTTTGGGTACGGACTTCAACCAACTGATATTTGCAGTCTTACATGGACTTTGGCGCCTCCCGATCGCACCGCCATGGATAAGCAGATGTTGGACAATGAAGCGTCAGATTCACAATTGCGTTTCGAAGCTTTTAGCCACGTTTGGAACCTGACTAGTTTAGTAGGTTATTTTAAGTTTAAAATATTTGTATTTGAAAAAAAATAAAAAAAATTTATAGCTGAATGTAATATTTATATAAAAAAATAAAATAATTATGAATTTGATATGATATGATATTTTATGTTATTAATTATTTTAACTTATTTTATCTTTTTATGAATTTTAAATTTAAAAAAAAAAAAAAAGAAGCCAAACCTTGGCTTCCCAAACACCCCCAAAGTAGGTTAGCTTCGTTTGGCAAAGGTTTTGTGGCTATTTTAACCACAAAAAATAAAATAAGTTATTTTAGTCACAACAAACAAAACATCACATCCAATTCATAATCATTACACTCTTCTCTCACAAAAAAAAAGTCAAAAAAGTCAAAAAAACTCTTCCCAAACCAAGCTTTTTAGCCCAGGTTAAAAAAGCCAAAAAATCAACCAACTTCCCAAACGGAAGCAAAATAAAACTTTTGTTGAAAGGAGAAGGCAAAAAAAAAAAAAAAAAAAAAAAAAAAAAAGACGACAACAACTCTAAAAAAACCATAGCAAAAATTAAAGAAAAAAAAAACAAACAATATGTCAAATGAAATAATTTCATATAATATTATAGTCTTTGATGTCTTATTTTAGTCAATAAACTAATTTTTTTAATTAATTTTCAAACGAAACTAAAATATTCCATTCAACAAGTAAAAGAATCATTTAACCTTAATACAACCACAAAAACAGTGACAAGGGTAAAACATGAATCAGAAATTAAGAAATAATAAACCGAACAAACACATAAGACCTTAAAAAAATTTAGCATTCAAAATAATTCAATATATATGAGAATCCAAACAATACTATTTGGTGGAGATAGTAGACCCGAAATCAATGATGAGTCTTAGCAGCATAACAAAAATACTTCCCTTCCTTGTCATAAATATGTTTGTGGCCACTCGGCAGAACCGATTACGAGTTTGAGCCATAATGCAGGTTGAATTCGAGACGCGGCACAACTTCCTAGATTCGTTGCATAGAGAGATATGCTTCAGCTTTATTTTATTTTTTTTGATCCGAATATTTGCTTAGCCTTGTGTATGTATTTTATGAACATGAAGAATGGTGCTCTATTTTGTGAACATGAAGAATGGTGCCCAAGTTCACCAGTGGCCTTTTTCCTGCTGGGCCAATCTGCAGGCCAAAAACTTAGGCCTAAGTCCTGCCCACGAGCTAGCAAGCAACCTGTCAAACCAATGGATAGGCCAGCAGCCTGGTCCAACCCACAGGCTTGCCCTAACAGGCCCAAATTCATGCCTACCTTTTAGCCCATTCATAGTTTTTTGTCAAGCTCACAGGTTGGGCTAGTGGATCTGATTGGATTTCAGCCCTTAGAGACAGGGCTAGTACAGGCCTGCTTCATGTCGGATCAGCTAGCCAATGACACGGGTCTGCGTCGGGTAAAAAACCGTCTAGCTTTTGAATCAGATGATGACCCTTAAATAGATATTGGATAAAAATTGGAGCTATATATGAGTCGAGCCAAGCCGTTTAGTAGATTCTTCAAGTATAAATTGAAATCTTAACAGACTTTAAAATGTATTTAAATTTGATTTTTTTTGTAATTCAAAAACTCGAGTCAAATCAAGTAATAAATTGTTCAAGTTTAGACTTAAAAATAAAACAAACGTTAAAATGTGTTTAAGTTTGATTTGTTTAGATACATGAGCTAATCTCAAATGAAATCTTAACAACTAGAACACAATTTAGTTCGTCTTACAGTCCTTGGTACAAGCATACACAAAACCTTATTATTGCACAAAGTAGTTTACCTTGGTATTTGAATCCACGACTTCAAGGCAAATAGTGTAAAGAAGAAAAAACAAGGTAATTGAGCTCAACTCGTATTCATCTTTATCTGTTGCAAGGTGCATTTGCCTCTTCAGAGACTATAGAACCCCACTTGAAGTGAAGAGTTGAGGAAACTCCCCGAAGGACTCACCAGGAAAAATAAAAAAAAAAACTCCTGGTAACTTTTGCAGAAGACATTCACCCAAAAAACTTTTGCAGAAAACAACTGCATATTGGTACATTTCCAATCCAGATAACATCTCCCCCATGCTTTTGCAGAACCATTAGTTGCACTCTGACAGGGCAGCTCACATAATTTGGAGCCTACTACAAAACCCAAATAGAAATTCACATCAGCTGCAAAAACCCTCCCCAAACTTCCTCTCCTTTCTTTTCATCTCAGCAGTAATTGCGCTCTGAGGTAGCAATAAGTCATGTCCTCGACTATTATTCCGGCAAGAGGATAAACAAAATCACACCTGCAAACAACCATGGTTATCAGAATCCCGATCCGGATCTTACGATCTTACGATCCATTTAAGTACAATCGATCCGGATCGTGTAAAAATCTCTTTATAGTAAGATCTTTCGATCCTGGTAGTGGGATCTTATAGGATCATGGAATCCCGATCCGAATCCGATCCAATTTACAAGCCTTATTTTGTATTGTATGACATATTTTATTGTAAATTTTATGTTTATTGTCTAAATACCAATTTACATGGTCAAAATAAATGATAAAAATTAAGTCGTATTGAATCAAATAGACTAAGAAAAACAAACTAGGAAACAAACATTCAAATATTACGGTAATTTAAAAAAATTAAATAGTCGGAAAAACAAACTTAGCTTTAGCGGAATCTAACGAGGGTAAGATGATTGCAACTCTATCCTAATTTTTGGAGAGATTATTTTTGTGACTTGAATCCGCTCCACCAGGAATGCTAACGACAAATCTTATCATTCGGTTAAGCTACTCTTTTGAGTTCTTAATCTATTTTCATATCCAACTTTATTAAATATTTTTTCTTCTCTTTTTATGCATTATTGTAAATTGTGAATTATTTTGTTATAGAATTCTTTTTCTTCTTCACCTTCTTTTTTGATAAAATACAAAACTTTTACCATCGAGTTTTCTATTGTATATTATTATATGTACATTTTACATGAAGTATTATATTTTTCACAATATTTTCACTTCTTTTTAATAAAATATAGACTCATTTTGTGTATACTTTATAATAAATATTTATTTAAATTAAATTATTATGTAATTTGTCTTTTTTGATAGGATCTTACGATCCTCGATCCGATTCTACGTTCCGATCCTATAAACACCTCCAATGATCCAACGTAGGATCTCGATTTTAACAACGTTGCATACAACCAGGTTTCATTGGTCCTTCCCAAAACAGTAACAGCCCAAACCATCAAACATGCTGTAATATCCCAGCAGCACACCTAATTCTCTTCATCAAGTGCCATTTATGAGAAAACTATATCGAAAGCCCAAGGAGAGAATCAAGAATCAAGAAACTTGCAAAATCACATTGCCAAAACTAAATAGAGCAAAACCAGATCACACAAGAAAGAAGAAATGGGACATTTCATTATACATATTAAATGGTTAATGCCGAGGCCAAATGGCCCCTAATCTCTACACTTTGTAACACGAGAGCAAAACTGCCACAAAGCTAAGAGGAAAATCGAAAGCTATACTACACTATGGAGGACTCTAGAGAAATACATAGGATGGGGCAAAGCAACCCATCAACAGTTACAATTGCAGTTGCAAAGCCCCATCATGTTCACAACAGAATATAATCTCTCCCTCAAGCATTATGATGCCATTGGCTTAACCAAATACAAATCAATTGCGAACCAAGGGGTCTTTAGAGCCCTCTCTTCTTGCTGGAGATTATTGAAATTCTTTGGCAATGGTACCAGCTAAGGGGCAGCAGATATAATCCTGTCATTATGATTCTTCCTGTATGCTGAATCAACTGGATTAAAGTTCTTGAGTATGTACAGAAGACTGCAGTCGTACCTCAAAACCCGCATTCTTGTGATTATTGCTCTTTGTTAAAATGGTCCAAGAGATTAACACCTCAATTATGGGAGCCTGCCAAATAAAATTTCCTCTTTCATTGGATCGTTCTTGAAAGCTTGCACTTGGAAATGAAGGTGGTATCTGTATAATTTAGACTACATAGCTTCAAGAGCTCTGCAGACTGCTGTTTTAATACTGGATTGCAACCGCTCTGGATGACAAGAAGTAGCTTCGCTGCAAGACCCGCATCCAACGCAATTGATGAGCATTCCTCCGGGGAAAGCTTGCATACCGACCCCAAGATTGACAGCACGTGTTGTGTACAGCTTTCTGAAACCTTCATTATTAGTTTCACTGTGTTTGCAATGGTGTTGGAGCAATTCCTCAAAGCCAAACTACCCTCAGGTAAAGAGGATAAGGTATCCAAAATGAACAGAGCTAATTCCAAGCAATCCGGACTCAAACCGGGCAACAATTCAACCAATTGAGGGACAGCACCGATACTGACAATCAAGATTCTGACTTGTTTATGCAAACATATTGTTCGGAGGAGACTAAGACCGGGCAAAATCCCATCTGGGTGTCTCTTATCCTTCACCAGCCTCATCAAACCAATCAATAACCTATGGCTCGAGACAATTTCCGGTCGAAAATCCTTCTCCTCCATCAATGTTTCAATCAACCGGGTACAGTTGATCTTGGTCTCAATTGAGCCCTCATTCAACATGTCCACCACTAATGAGATCTTCTCAGGCTGCATCAAATTTGTTTTCGATTCCGAATTGAGCATCAAATTGACAAGAATCGCAATAACTTCGGACCCAACAGCATAAGTAGTAAGCTGGCCTATGAGTGATGATAGCAGAGCAACCCCGCCTTCATCAACCACAGTCGTCCTAGCAGTGGCATGAGCTGCCACAACCTGTCGGAGCTCCTTCAGGGCTTGAACCCTGGCTTGACCCTTCACCTTCTTGATTAAGCCGAGAAGCTCGGACGCCCTTCCCTGTACATCTTCCGATTTCTTCTTCATTTGCAAGTACATCTGATAAAACCAAGTATGGATTAAATGGTAAAGGGTTTTGTTCGGTGTAACTGAATCATCCCAGAGCTCTTGCATCGTAGTGGGGCAAGTATAGTGCCCTAAATTGAGCCATTTGAGAATATTAGACCTCTCATATGTTTGCCCAGTGCAAAGGGTTACTGGGTCTTGCATAGGTTCAAGAGAAATTGGGCAAATGAACACAGAAGGAACTTCAGACAAATCAAGCTCTTCAATCATCTTCTTCAGATCAAGTTTCTCCCCAAACCCACCACCAAAACCCCCACCACCGCCGCCGCCGCCGCCGCCCAAAACTCCATCTTTGACGGCAGTGTCCAGATCTAAAACATGGCCATCGCCACCGCCTTCAAACCCAATAGACCCACCTCTCAAAGAAGGCTGAAACATAGGCATCTTTGCAACAATGCCAAAAACTACACAGAAATACAAAACCCTTAAAAGAAAAAGCCTCTCAAAACCATACACCCAGAGTCACCATAGAAGGCACATTGCACATGAGATGTGAAAACAGACAAAGATGATAGTATCTCTTTCAAAGCAACTCTCTTTCATTGACAATAACAAGCAACGAGACTGTCCTCTTTTGTTCTCTCTCTCTCTCTGTCCTCTTTTTCTTCGCTTTATCTCTCATTTTCTTCTTGTAGGGTCAAAAGTCTCCTCACCATCATAACATACATTATCAAATCAAATACACTCAATACTCTCTTTTCACAAAAAAATCAAAGTTCACTTCCAGTTCAAGCTCAAAAAGGGTTTAATCATACAACCCAGATAGCAAAAAGATCAAAAATCACCGAAATTAGATAAACAATATCAAATATCCAGAGATCTACAGTAACACACCAAAAAAAATGAACTAGGAGTAAATTTTAACAAATGGAACAGAAATTGAGAGACAATGAAAAAGACCCAGATCATACGAGCCTATAAATGTGAGAATTGAGAGGCCATACCGGCATGGTTGGTTGGTTGGTGGTGGGAGAGAGAGAGAGACGGGAGAGAGAGAGGGGCGTCCCTTGTAAAGCTCCTCCTCTTTGGAGTCCTTTCGGGACAGTTTTGATTTTCACAAAATAAAGTAGGGAAAAATTAAAATAAAATTAAAGTGGGAAATTTATAATATACTAATAAGAAATGAAATACTAAGATGTTTTAGAGGGTAATTTAAGGGGAAGTAATTGGTTGGTTATGGGATATCGTTATGCGGCGTTTTAATGGTGTTGTGAGGGGGGAAAGAGATAAGACTTATGAATTTAGGTTTAGTAATTAATAAATATGATGTTCCTTCTGTTTTAAAATATTAATCTTTTATTTTATTTTTTATTATTCTAAAATATTAATCATTTTTCAAAACTTAATGAATAAATTAATATTAATTTACTATTTTACCCTTATTTTAATTTTATTAATAATACAAAAAGTATAATTATGACAATTGATATTTTTAAAAAATATATAATATCAAAGGATAATTTTGGCAAATTAATATTTTTAAAATGAGTACTACTATTAGCATCCCGTGAATTATTTTGGACCTTTTAGTTTTTAACTTTTTTATTACAATAATAACCTCAAATAAAATTACTAAAAAGAATATCATTAATTTTAAGACATCTCATCTCACAATTAAGACCAAGTTTGGCATAACCTAAATAATACAAAAAGTCAAAAAGTCACTCTCATATTTAAGTCACATCATCTTATTTAAATCACATCACCTCTCTAACACATCACGTCAAAGCCAACCCAAACCCAACCCATATAAGCCAATAAGTCAAAAAGTGTACTTTTTTAGAACATCCCAAACCAACCCTAAATCCGCACACCGCTACATCGTGACTTAAGATTTATGAGAGTACTCACCTCCATCACCATCCATCCATCTTCCCCAAATCTCACCTTCAAAATTTACCGACCATTAAAACCTTGAAAATCCTTTAGCGGTAATATTTCAACGATAATGATAGCAACCATTTGATTAATCACACTTTTTTGACAATGATAATGAGTGAGAGTTTTTTCAACAACCACGACTCCATGAGACGAGAGAAGTACAACAAAAAAAGTTCAGAGGAAATTCATAGTTTTTATAGTGTTCTTAGCTCATAGGAGATTGGCCTTGCAAGGGTAAGTTTCTCAACCAAAAAAAAATGTAAAAAAAATAAAATATGTTCATTTTTTCGAGGCTGAACTTCCGAATATATGATCAAAATTTGGGAACACATGTCCGAACATTTTTATTTGTTCAAAAATCGGTAACCGAAAATTTATTATTTGTTCGGGAACTGGAAATCGAACATTAATCACCGAAGAAAATGATGAGGCAACAGAGAGAGAGCACAGACAGTAATCGCACTTGACTCTTTTTCTTCTTCTTGTATTTTGTTAAGATTTTTTGAAGAGATTTTTTTTTTTTAAGTGTGGGGAGTGTGCATTTAATTGAATAGAGAAAATATTTTCACAAAGATAATTTTGATATTATTTATAAAGAGAAAAGAAATTTTAAGAATTTCAAAATTTACAAGTAAGAATCCAAAGAAATGAGGGGTCTAAACTAATAGACGAGGTGCTCATAACACCACTATTTAAAAATATAATAATTATACTATTAAAAAAAATTAAATTCTCTAAAAGAGACTATTATTTTGAGACAAATAGAGTAATAAATTATAATTAATGTGAATATAATCACGTGTCGTGCCAACTTTAGGGTTCGTTTGGGAAGTATGTTGATTTTTTGATTTTTTTAACCTGAATTAAAAAGTATCATTTGGAAAGAAATTTTTTATTTTATAAAAAAAAAATATAATAATTATAAATTTAATATAATATTTTATCTTATTGAACTAAAAAATCTATTTTATTTATTTTTATAACTATTTTAATAAAAAAAAAACTCTAATCCTTACTTTCCAAATGAGCCCTCGATCATACTTTTTCTTAAGCAAGCGGTTTGGAAACGGTAATTAAGCCCTCGACCCGCGCACCGCACGTGCAGTCTTATCACCTGTCGCCGTAATCTCCAGGTTCTGTCTCCTATTTTTAACCAAAGTTAATTTAATTCAGAATTACACAAAAATCCTTGCTTGTGCTCTATGATTTTTATTTTTATTAACGACAGTGCTACATGTAGTCATTCGTATTGTAATTAATATATCAATATATTTTATAATATTATTACTTATCTCACTCATTTCTTTGGATTATACAAATTACAAACACCCAAAATTTTTAAAATGATGCCACATCATCTGTTAGTACACTAATTGGTATACCAATTGGTGCATATAGCATTATTCATTACCAATTGATGCATATAGCATTATTTATTAATAAATAATGTTAAAAATTCCCTTCTTAGTTAAATTTGCACCTATTGATTACTAGAATAGGATTAGCAAACTTGGGTCATGTTAGAGCTTCTCCAATAGCATGAAAACTCAAGACTGAGCTCTCCAATGGCTAGCTAAAAGCCTTGACAAATTTTAGTTTTGCTAAACCTTGTACTAAATTTGGCTCAAAATTGGACCTGCTAATATGCTTAGAGAGTGTTGAGAATGGTGAAAAGCTCTTTTGCTGTAGTCTGAGTTTGAGTTGAGGCTTGAATTTCTCTTGCAATGATTGTTTTTTTGGTGTTTATTTGGGCAATCTGATCCTAACCCAAATTTTTTCCACCCAAACACTAGCCACCAAAAACCCGTTTTCGCAACACTTTTCCACCACCGTCTTTCGCCACCAGCCGCCCACCCCCACTACTACCACTCACCACCCACCTGCCGCCACCACCCACCTGCCACCCACTCGCCATCATTACCCACCCTCACCACCACCACCACTACCACCCATCATGCCATCCACACGCCACCACCCACACCATCCACGCCTGCCACCACCACCTGCCACCTACTGCCGCCACCACTCACCACCACCGTCACCACCGCTCACCACCACTACCACACCACTCCACCACCTTGCCACCACCACCCACACCCACCACCCGCCATCCACCTGCCACCACCACCACCACACCGACACCACCACCACCACCCGCCATCCACCTGCCGACCACCACCCACACCCACTCGCTCCTCTATCACCCGCCACCGTCACCACCACCCCACCACCACCACCACCACACCACCACCACACACCACCACCTGCCATTCGCCACCCACCTGCTACCACGCACCCACGTCGCTACAACCCACTACCATCACCCACCCATCCACCACTACGCACCCACCTGCCATCCGTCACCCACCTGCCACTACCACCCGACGCCGGCACCATCACGACTACCCACTCGTACACCCGCCACCGTCACCCACCACTTACCACCACCACCACCCGCCCGCTACCACCTGCCACCACCAGCTACCCACCCACCAACCGTCACCACTTTCTACCACCGTCTTCCGCCGCCAGCTTGCCATCACTTTGCCATTTTTCACTTTTTTTTTTATATTTTTAAAATTTTTTAAACATTGTCAATACCAAACACGTTGGTAGTTTATGTTTTTCTAAAAATAAATAAAAAATCAGTTTATAAAATTTTTGTAAATATAAACTGAAAACGTAAATGTTACACCACACCTAAATATTTTTTATTTATATAATGAGTGAGATAAGTTACTATTTATAAAATAATATTGATATATTAATTAATATACGAATTACTACATGTAGCACTGTCGTTAATAAAAAATAAAAATCATAGAGCACAAGCAAGGATTTTTGTGTAATTCTGAATAAATTAACTTTGGGTTAAAAATAGGAGACAGAACCTGGAGATTACGGCGACAGGTGAATAAGACTGCACGTGCGGTGCGCGGGTCGAGGGCTAATTACCGTTTTCCAAACGCTTGCCTTAAGAAAAATTATGATCAGGGCTCATTTGGAAAGTAAGGATTAGAGTTTTTTTTTTATTAAAATATGTTATGAAAAATAAATAAAATAGATTTTTTAGTTCAATGAAGATTAAATATTATATTAAATTTATAATTATATATTTTTTTTTTATAAATAAAAAATTCTTTCCAAATGATACTTTTTAATTCAGGTTAAAAAAATCAAAAAATCAACATACTTCCCAAACGAACCCTAAAGTGTGGCACGCACGTGATTATATTCACATTAATTATAATTTATTACTCTATTTGTCTCAAAATAATAGTCTCTTTTAGAGAATTTATTTTTTTAAATAGTATAATTATTATATTTTTAAATAGTGGTGTTATGAGCACCTCGTCTATTAGTTTAGACCCCTCATATTCTTTGGATTCTTACTGTGTAAATTTTGAAATTCTTAAAATTTCTTTTCTCTTTATAAATTAATATCAAAATTATCTTTGTGAAAATATTTCCCCTATTCAAATTAAATGCACACTCCCACACTTAAATAAAAAAAAAAATCCTCTTCAAAAAATCTTAACAAAATACAGAAGAAGGAAGAAGAGTCAGTGGCGATTACTGTCTGTGCTCTCTCTCTGTTGCCTCATCAATTTTCTTCGGTGATTAATGTTTCGATTTCCAGTTCCCGAACAATAATAAATTTTCGGGTTACCATTTTTGAACAAATAAAAATGTTCGGACATGTGTTCAAATTTCGATCATATATTCGGAAGTTCAGCCTCGAAAAAATGAACATATTTTATTTTTTTTACATTTTTTTTTGTTTGATGAAAACTTACCCTTGCAAGGCCAATCTCCTATAAGCTAAGAACACTATAAAAACTATGAATTTCCTCTGAACTTTTTTTGTTGTACTTCTCTCGTCTCATGGAGTCGTGGTTGTTGAAAAAACTCTCACTCATGTATATTGTCAACAAAAGTGTGATTTAATTCAATGTGTTGCTATCATTATCGTTGAAATATTACGCTAAAGGATTTTCAAGTTTTTAATGTCGGTAAAATTTGAAGGTGAGATTTGGGGAAGATGGATGGATGGATGATGGAGGTGAGTATCTTCATAAATCTTAAGCTCACGATGTTAGCGGGTTTGCGGATTTAGGGTTGGTTTGGATGTTCTAAAAAAAGTACACTTTTTGACTTATTTGCTGATATGGTTGGGTTTGGGTGG